CTTAATTTGGGGTACCTAATTATTTAGAGATTAAAGCACAGTGTGTACTTTGGTTGGTTTGTTATTGGCTCTCAGACTACAGAATTCAATGTTACTTGGCTACATTTTACAAGAGGCTTTAGATGCCAAAAATAAATTGGATTTTAAAATTCTAATAAGGTCTTATGTGTTCAGTTGTCGTATTTTAGCACTGTAGGAAATTTAACTGGAAACACAATGAGCTGCTAAAATACTGGATATTTGAAAATGACAATACTGCAGGTCTCACTACAGCTTAACAGTTTTCTACAAAATCATTATCATCATTGTTAAATATATTATGCCTGTGAGGATACACTTTCTACTGATCTCAAAAACATGTCAGTTTACATACACGAGTTTTATTACTGGAACTTTCGTTTTCAGAAGCAAATGGCAACTAAGGATTTTTGAATGTTCAGTGATAGCTGCCTTCAAATAATTGAGGTTTTGCAAACTACTAAAATGGCTCCCTACTCTATCGGTTCTCCAGATGAACATGGACAGTTTTACATGGACTTCCTTGTATGTAATTAAAATAAGTAAACATTTTAAGTTTCTGCAATACTTTTATGAATTTAAGCAATTTTTAAATATTGTTAAAACATTTTATTGACTACAAAGTATTGTAAATATAAATCAGTACATCTTCAAATGAGACAAAATTGTAAACTTTACCTGTTTGGTGACACAGATAAAATGTTTTTTGATATACAGGAATGTTAAAGGTCTATTGACTTTCTACTGGTGCTGAATAGCATTGTTGAATTCCCTTTTCTCTGTTTCAGACAATAATTCACTACAGGTTGGGGAAAAAGAGTTACATGTGCATTCACTAATTGTACACTAATTGTAATGAACATTTTTTGAAAAATATAAATTTGTTGTATAATGCATGTTTATTTTTAGCATTGTGTTATTGCAACTGGTGTTAATAAAATGAACAAATGACTCTAATGGAAGCAATTAAAGAAACTGAAATGTTATGCTAATTACCAAAATTCTTGGGAGGCTTTTTTGTATATAATTAATAATTTTGTACTTTTGAAATTAATATAGCAATAATAGTTTATATTGAAGTGATTTTGCATTTGATATGGTTTGTTGTATAATAGTCTTTGTAATATATGGGAGGGGTTTTTTGCCTGTAGCATACAGGATGCTTAAATGAGTACCTACAGTTCAGCAATGTACACACTGTAAAGAGTATTTTATTAGAGTTGTGTTAGGCAAGTCCTTCTGACACAAACATGTCTTAAATACATTCTCGCTATAAAAATGTCTGTTTTTATTAATAATTTTGTATTATAATGGTACTACTAGTTCTAAATGTTTAAACTATGTTCTGGTATCTCAACTGTCTTTTTTTTAAGAGTATTATAGTAGTTGGCTAGTGGCTAAACTTTGAATATCCACTTAAGGGCGCTAAAGCTACAAAATATTCCTTGATTTACAATGAGGATGTTAAACTGCTCTTAGTACACAAGTATTTAGATGGTTCTGTCACTGTTGAAAAATGTCTATCTTCCTTTCTGTCTCTGGAAATCTGAAAATATAAAGCATGCTTTTGTGATCAGCAAAGCAGAAATATCCTGGCAGAAAGTCGTTTTTTGGGTTTTTTTAATAGTAGATCCCATTCACTTAAGGAAGCTTGAATTAGGTCTGTTCTTTGAGGAGAACAGACAGTGCAGGAAATCACATGATATTTGCATATAAGTTTATCAAGGAACGGGGCAAATTAAGACAACATTAAATTCATTTTGTCTCCCCTCACTTGTATTACCCAGTGCAGTCCATATGTGGTCTGGTAGCCCAGCATGTCCGCGAAGCATATGAAGTTCATATTTGCACTTACAGACTCTAAGGTACACTTGGTCTCTGAGCAGCACATTCAGCCTTGGATGTTTTGGACAACTGTGCCTGTGTTGTGTGGCATGTTCCCCCTACTGCATATTTCTGCCTTCTCTTTCCTTGACAGAAATACAGACTCATATATACATAATTGTGTCGTCTGATGCAGTAGCAGCTATAAAGTGCTCCATCTCATCACTCTTCTCTTTGAATCAGGGCTTCATCTTCCTGTAGTGATAGTGACCTCACCTTTATGCAGGTATCCTACAGCTGCTTGAAGAATTATTCTGCTTACAGAATGAGAGGTAAGAATTGAGGTCGACATTCCTTTAGAAAACCGCCACTCTCTTGTTTCATGAAGGCAGTAGGCTGCTACTGTTATTTCACAAAGCTCTCTGGGGTATTATTAGTAGGTCACTACATAAAATTAGGTAGTGTCTGAACTTCGGTTTGCATGTAGTGTATAGAAATTAATTCCTTGGTTTGTGTTTGAATCTTCATCAAAATTAATCTTTCTGGTCCTGTAGATCGAGCAATTGCTATCATGTTATACGGAAAATCACCAGGCTTTACAGCAGGCCCAAGAGATTTCACATTCACAGAAAACTTACTCTGTACCCACAAAACCCCTTGATTCCAAGCCAGTTTTATTTGCCCAGCCCTGACCAGGTGTGGTGTTCAGATAACCAAGCTTCTTGAAAGGGTCTGAGAGGAAGAGTGGGCATATAGGCAGTATCAGAATACTTGCTGCCTGGGGCAGTGCTGGTTGTGGTGCATTCCAGATAGACCCATGGCCGTTACATTTGTCTCATCTGAATTGACCTGCTGCATGGCTTGTGCTACCTATAAGTCTTTTACTTCCTGCTTTTTAGAAAACCAAAGCAAAATACAGCACTGTTTGTGTCATCCTCGAGAGGCAAGCTGCAGTGCAACAGATAAATGATCAGTAAACAGAGGAAGGAAAACGAAAAAAAAAAACCAACCATTGAACTTAATCACAAAGTAGAATATTCCTGTGGCGTATGCTATGTTTGTTTTTTCCAGTGTTCAGATTTATTACCTCCTCAGCCACAGGATCTAGACATGCATAATTCAAGAGTTAAAAGTGAATTTTGCATTTTACAGCAATACAATATATGAAGACAGAAGAAAAATGTTTTGTAGACCTCAACTTATTTTGGGGTGGATAAACAGTACCTCATTAATCCTTCATTGCTATTTCATTCTTGCCATTTGGAATTGCACACATATGCATGTGCATACGATGGATGCGTGTGTGTATGACTTTCCATGGATTGTGTTAAGCTGTTTAGGAGCAGAGCTTACTATTATTTGGTATCTGCAGACAGCCTGGTATGAGAGGCTTTTTTAAAGGAAGGATTTAATTTTTTTTTTTCTGTATTGAACACCTAAATTATAAGTTCTTGAACTTCAAAGAGATCTGTTGGGGTTTTTTTTCTTGTTCCTTTTGGGCAGAAGAGCATTTTTTTTCTGCAGTCATGTTTATTCTCTCTCATCTAGAGGCCCAGCATCTTGCTGTTAGAATAAAGAGAAGGATTTCTCATTATTTTGAGTCTGTAATGTCTAATTAGTCATGTTATAAAACGTTGATTGAGAAAATATCACTTGTAAAGTAGTCAGTTATATTTAATACTTCCAGTGTACAGCCTTTGCCAGATGTAGAACAGTAAACTCAAGGGAGCATTGCTGTTCTTAAATTATCAAGATTTACTTCATAAACTCTTCAGATGTGAACACAAAATACTATTTTAGACTCAGCTCTCCAAGTTATTTTCTGCAGTTTAGTACCTGTGCACAGAGGGCTTCAAATTCTGTTTTATGGAAGAAAAAGGTCAGCTGGAGAAGTTTGAACAGTGACAAAAAGCAAATGTTGCCATACTCAAATCATTAACTGTGGCTAATTAACTGGAGCTCCACTCCATGAGCACAGGTGTTACTTATCCCAGGGTTAGGGTTATACTGAGAGAGAGTGTTAAAAGCACCTTCACGGGTTAAACTGGAAAACTGAAAGGCTGCCATCTGAAGTCCTCTGGTCCAGCAGCCAGGGTTGCTGGATTCATAGAATCATATGGGTTGGAAAGGACCTTTGAGATCATCAAGTCCAACCCTTGATCCACTACCAACCAGAGTTAGTAGACCATGGCACTGAGTGCCACATCCAGTCTCTTCTTAAAAACCTACAGGGACAGAGAATCCACCACCTCCCTGAGCAGCCCATTCCAATGCCTGATTACCCTCTCTGTAAAGAATTTCTTCCTAACATCTGACCTAAACCTCCCCTGGCAGAGCTCAAGCCTATGCCCTCTTGTCTTACTGATAGTTGCCTGGGAGAAGAGACCAACACCCACCTGGCTACAGCCTCCTCTCAGGGAGTTGTAGAGAGTGATGAGGTCTTCCCTGAGCCTCCTCTTCTCCAGGCTAAACAACCTCAGCTCCCTCAGCCTCTCCTCACAGGACTTGTGCTCAAGTCCCTTCACCAGCCTGGTTGCTCTTCTCTGGACCCGCTCCAGCACCTCAATGTCCTTCCTGAAGTGAGAGGCCCAGAACTTTCTTGCTGCTTTTGTGCTGGAAGGGTGAATAATGCCTGGTTGAGTGCAGAAAATGCATCAGCTGGCATAATGGAGAGAGGGAGATAAAGTTTATTTGTTAATAAACATTTAATATTGAAATATTTTTTGTAACCTTGAAGTTATATGGCCTTTAATTTGTAAGGACGAACACTTGGTCCGTACTATGGCATCAGCCAAAGTTCCTTCACGTCCTAGGCTGCCTGTTTCAGCAATGTGTTTTTGTTATTAGAACAAAACTAAACTAGCAGGATTGTACTACGCATGGGGGTTGGGGGTTTATCTCTCCTCTTTAATTGCAGAGGAGAGATAAAATGCCAAAGGGTTGCGCGGAAGGGCGGGGAGAGAGGAGTTACAGCTGATTTCCCGAGCACCCCCACGAGTCCGGAGCTGCCTCCCGGTCCGTGCCTCCCGGGGCGCCGCTCGACTCCGTTTACCGCAGCCCGGGAGGGAGCGCGGTGGGTGGCGAGGCAGGTGCGGCTCCGCTGCCCGGACCCTCCGCCCTCACGGGAGCCGCTCCTCGCCTGGAGCCGCCGCCCTCGGCGCCTGCGCGGCCTTGGCTGTCCGGCCCGGCCATGGCTCTGCGGCTGCTGCGCGGAGCGCCCGTCGCAGCGAGTAAGAGACCGGGGGAGGGCGGGAGGGGCCCGGCCGTGCCGCGAAGGGGCTCCTCGGTTCCCTCAGCCCTTCCTCCCGCAGGGAGGGAGGGATGAGGGGGACAGGGCGGGCACTGCCCGGAGCTGCCGGCGCTGGGGGGGCTGGAGGGCGCCCAAGATGGCGGCGGGCGCGGGTTGTGACACCCCGGACCGTCAGCCCGGGAGGTCTCGGAGAGTCTCTGTGAGGTCCCTCAGCTTTCCCCACATCCTCTCATTTCCCTACAGCTGTTCTGCCGTCCTCCTTCCCCACCCCACGGATATGAATTAATTATTATTCTCCCCTGTATCGCAAGCCTGCTATCAGGCATATCTGTTATTACGCAGGTTTTTCTTGCCCTGTCGTTGCTGCGAACTTTTTAACGGCAGTGAAATGTTAGACAGTGGGTTAATGTTTGTAGAATAGCTGGAGGGAACTTAACTGTGGCATTGGAAGTTATTGGTTCATGCCCTTCACCTGAGGAGGTTCATGTGGTTTGTTTATAGAGAAATAGGGCAGCCTGCATAACAGAGCCTGTCCCACAGGCCTAAGCTGCGGGTCGGGCTGTTTCCCTCTCCAGCAAAAACTGAGGTTCTGTGATGCTGTTGATAAAATACTCCTGAAACAAATCACTACAATATGTGTTAATGGAAGAGCTGGAAAAAAATGTTGTTAGGTATTTGTGCTCTATCAGGTTGATGCCAAGATTTGGCTGATGCTCTAATGCCCTGAGCGTCCCGACGTGTGCCCAGCTTCCACTGCATGCATGGTTTTGTTATGATAAATCATGGTCTGCAGGCCCCTTCAAAAGACAGGATATTGCAGACACTGGCAGTGCAGCACCTTTAAAGGCTTGGAATTTTCAAATTCAGCTATATCATTGCGTAACTCATAGATGTACTTAATAAATGGGAGGGCTTTGTGACACCCTGTAGGGGATGAGGGAATCAAAGATCACTTTGTAGAATGTGGTATCAGCTGGTGATAGTTCATCTCATCTTTTTCAGAGGTATTTAATGTTGACTTTTTGTTGCTTCTCTGTCAAGAAGAATGTATTTTGGTCAAGAACATTAAGTATTGCAAATAGGAAAAGGGATTTTGCCTCTTCTCTGGTGACTGAGATAATTGATTTTGTACCAGTACCTTAATCCGACTTTTGTTTGAATTTGGACTAGAATACCAGCTATAGTTTAATTTTCTAGCTATCTTCTTTTTTAGCTTGCTGAAGAATGACAGGAGTAGAAAGATCCAGTGTTTGCAACAGATCAGATACTTTACTGTTGATAGTTTATGTTATTCTTAAACTAAAAAATACTCCTTTGGGGCATTGGCAGCAGTTGGTAGATGTAATACAGTTTATGTGGCTCTAGGGTTTAATGTTAAAGACATGGTATTTTAAAATGAGTGAATGAATATGCTGATTCTGGGAATACAGTTGGGTTGTTGGTTGGTGTTTATTTAGGTGAGTCAAATTCATGCTGCTTGAGAAGGTTTCCTGATTAAATCTCCTCAGCAAGATAGAATAATATTCCTTTCAGACACTTTGCAGCTGGTACAGGGAAGATTTCTGTTTGAATGTTCCTTCTTAAGTCAGAGTTGCTTTAGGCACCTGTCCATAGCCAAAATATTTTCAGAGGATAGTTTATGCTCACTGTGGACACTTGGCATTTTAACCAAAATGTTAGTAAGACTTTAAAGGAAAAAGTTTATCCTTCTAATTAAAGCATTTGCATGCAGTTATATAATTGAACTTTTATATGCTCAAAGTTTGTCCTGCTTTTGACTACCAGCTGAATTATTTTACCATCCTAAGGGAAGCCCAATTATCCTCTGCCAACATTCTGGAAAACCTGTTACTAAGGGAACAACGTTTATTTTACTTTCCTTTGAGAAAGCAGAAACCTTTTCTGACTAAAAAGCTGCTGGAAATGAGCCAAGACCTGGAAATCAGCAGGTTTCTTGGGGGAGGTTAAGCCTTTTCCCAGAAAGCAGAATGTACTGGTCTGTGGTAGCATAATTACTATTTAGAGTCTAAAATACAAGAAGGTAACAGCAAAGGTAAGTTCAAACAGTTTAAAATACACTGTTTATGTGAACTGAGTTATACAACTAACACAGTTTTGCCTACATATGTTTCTAGGGCCAAAAATAATTATCTGTGCTGATTTCTTAGGTGTTCATGAGATAAATGTTAAATAAATTTTAGGGTTTGTTGTCCTGTCCTCTGCTCCCTAGTTTCCAAAGTAGAGTTTTTTCAGAGGTGCTTTGAACAGTTACTCGGTGTTAAACTCTCACATTCATGGTACGTGTTCCATTTGCTTGATAGAGTCATCACTTCTGTGCAACTTGCGGAGCAGCTCCGGCTCTAAGCCAGAAGGAAGATCTGAAGCCACTAAGCAGCCACTTAAGAAACCAAAGTTACCAGTGGGCCGATTTGATGAACCAGAAGAGTCCAGTATAGAGAGGGAACCCCTGGAAAGTAAGTCGTGTTTTACAAAATTGAAAGCTTTATTTTAAAGGCAAGACTGTGAGGTGCTGTGCTGATGTCAGTTGAAGAGGATGACTGTTACTCAGCACTCCTCAGAAACACTTTCTAAGCTTAATGGTTCCAAAAAAAACAGGCAGGACAATGGGAGAGAGTAACAAGATGCACCAAATGGAGTATGAGAGAAAAGTCTTCAGAGCAAAAGTGGTCAAACATTGTAACAAGTCACCCAGAGAACCTGTGATTCCTCTCCTCTTGGAGATATTCAAATTTGCGTGGCTGTCCTGACCTAATAGCAGTCCTGCCTTCAGCGGGGTTGGGGCCAGGTGCCTGCAAAAGGTGCCTTTCACCATAAACCATTGCATGATTCTGAGAAATGTAGCTGGTATTGGTCTGTAATAGTACAGCTGTAAATGGTGGCAGTAAACTCATGAGGGCACTGGCTACTTTTTATTATTCCAAAAGCCTGTTCTATTTCTTAGTCCACAAAATATTTTTGATTCATGCTGCATTTCTTCAGCAGTAGTGATGACCCATGTTTATCTATTTTGAGGTCTCTAGAACAAGCTTTTTAATATATCAGTATCCAAATGACAAAATGTCTGAAGAATCCCAGAGTGGTTTGGATTGGAAGATCATCAAGTTCCAACCCCTTGCTGTGGGCAGGGACACCTTTCGCTAGACCAGATTGCTCAGAGCCCCAATCAACCTGGCCTTGAACACTTCCAGAGATGGAGCATCCCCAGCCTCTCTGCACAACCTGTTCCAGTGCCTCAACACCATCACAATAAAAAAATTCTACATAGTATCTAAACCTACCCTCTTTCAGATTAAAGCCATTTCCCCCTGTCCTCTCACTACCTGTGCTCGTAAAAAGTCACTCTCCAGCTGTTTTTTATAGGCCCCCTATAGGTATTGAAAGGCTTTGCAGTAAGGTCTCCCCAAAGCTGCCTCTTCCCCAGGCTGAGCAGCCCCAGCTCTCTCAGCCTCTCCGCATAGGAGAGGTGTTCCAGCCCTCTGGTCATCTTAGTGGCCTTCTCTGGGCTGGTTCCAACAGGTCCACATCTTCCTTGTGTTGGAGGCCCCAGAGCTGGACACAGTACTCCGTGTGGGGTTTGTTTTTCACTATTTTTATTTTTTAAAAAGACCCAAATTTTTATTGTGCACGAACTTTGAAAGATACAATTCAAAGAATAACTTGCAACTATTTGCAACAAATTAAACACAAGTTTCTTTTGCCCATCATAACTCTTCATGAATTAGACATTAGCAGGTTGATGCAATGTCTTCTCATTCTTCTATATTCACTGTATATTGTGCCTTTACATGTAAACAGAAAGCCAGGTCTGAAAGCACTGACATCCTGGGGAAAAGAAATACAGACTGATTCATAATCTCCAAAAGGAAGGCAGCAGAGTGCCTGTTGGAAGCAGAATTTCCTTCTGCTGTAAACATTCCTTTGGTAAATACTTCAAATGCATTAAAGGGCCCTTCTGTACAGAGCTGGTAATTGCTTCAATTCTTGGGATGTAGTCTGCTTGGATAAATAACATCATTTTCCAGAACTGAATGTGCTACTGTTTCACGAGAGCATTGCCACACACTTCCAGAAAATTAAAAAGCAGTGTAGCTGTCACATCTGTCGGGGACTCTGGATTCAATATCTGAGTGAGCCAGTGCCATCCATAGTTCAGTCCCTGAGGATGTGCCCCTTGTTTGTTTCCATAAGGCCAGCAGAGTTGAATGATAGCAGCATAAAGAGGAATCATTCCTGACATTCGTTTAAGAAACTGTTCTTGTTTTTCCACCTTCGAATCTTTAATTTTATATCCAAAATCCTCAGATATCTTTCCACAGAAGTACCCTTTTTCCATGCAGGGTAAAATGGCACAGAACGGGAGCAGTTTTTGTGCAAGTGTACTAAAAAGAGGTCTCTGATTCGAGGGTGTATTTCGCAGATTCCTGAGGCCTCCACAGCAGTTGGGGAAGCTGCATCATGGTGAAAAGCTTCTTGTTTCACAAATTTCTCTGCAAGTTTGTAGTTACATTATTTATTATAGTATCATCATTATTGTATTATGGAATCATCTCCAGAAGGGTTGCACTCATTTTCAGATTGTGACTCACTTGAGAACTGATTCAGAGTTGGAGTTACTGTGTGAGCAGCTATTTAATTCTTGCCTTTTTTTCCCAAGGAAATAAATGCCATCACTGCTTCATTTAAAACAAATGTGTAATCAATATCTTTTGCTTTTTGCTTAGGTGTTCTAGGTTTAGAGCAAGACTCAAGGTCTCTTTTGCCTTTAAACTGAGTTGTACTTGTGTATTTTTTACATATAACACAAGCAGTAATTTGCAGATTGCCTATTGTATTATTAGGCAAAGACTAAGATTTTAAGCTACCTGTTGGAATTCCCATGGCTATGTAGCTCTCATGGAGAAATCTTTTGAGCATCTGCATCCACTGTCAGCACATCGGTAGTACTTGGGAATTGGGGTGATGACATCTACAAAATAAAATTACTTGCATTTGTGCTCCTTGTACTACTAGAGGTGCTCCAATACTGACATTTCCTATCCTGATGTGCATCAGTTTTTAAACAGACATCCCAGTATGTCATCCTGTATAGCCTCTAGCTCCATGAGTCTCCCTCCATCTCTGTTCTTTTTCTCTGCTATTCAGGATTTCTGTTGTTGTCCTTTCTGATTTTCTACCCTGCTTCTCATTACTTCTGTTATCCACTGGGGCTGGGTTAGGGGTATGACTGAGGGAGCCCCAGGCTACACGTATATGTGGGAGGCTTTGGAAAATCAGTGTGACAAGGGGCTTGTGGAGTACAGGGAGCTCCATGGAGCCCTGCAGTCTAGTGCAGGATGAAAAACCACTCAGCCTGGGATAGTGCTCTGCCACAAGTGCTTCATGGTTTGGTGGCCTGAGTTAACTGCTCTTAAGAGACAACCCTGAGTAAGGGAGCACTGAGCAGGGTAAGCACACTGACCGACGTGTGGAAAGCTGTGGTTGAGAAAGTGCTGTAAGCTGGAAGAGTACTTTGCTTTTGTAGCAGGACAGGGGGTTCTCATGGATGAAAAGCTGGATGTGGGCAGCCCGCATCCTGGGCTGCTTCAGAAGCAGTGTGGTCAGCAGGCCAAAGGAGGTGGTTCTCCCCCTCTACTCTGCCCTTTTGAGACCTCACCTGGAGTGCTGTGTACAGCTCTGAGGTCCTCAGCACAGGAAAGACGTGGACCTGATTGTGCAGGTCCAGAGGGACACAAAGATGATCAGAGGGCTGGAGCCCCTCTTCTATGAAAACAGGCTGAGAGAGTTGGGGTTGTTCAGCATTGAGAAGAGAAGGCTTTTGGGGAGACCTCATTGTGGCCTTCCAGTACCTTAAGGGGCTTATAAAACAGAGGGAGAGGGACTCTTCATACAAGTAGATAGTGACAGGATAAGGGATTCTAAACTGAAAGAGGGTAGGTTTAGATTACATGTTAGGAAGAAATTCTTTACTCAGAGCGTGGTGAAGCACAACAGGTTGCCCAGAGAAGTTGTGGATGACCTATCCTTGGAAGTGTTAAAGACCAGGCTGGATAGGGCCCTGAGCAACCTGACCTAGTGGGTGGTATCCCTGTCCATGGCAGGGGAGTTGGAACTAGATGATCTTACGTGTCCCTTTCCAACCCATTCTATGAATCAAAGAAGCACTGCTCATGTGTAAACTTAGCACATTACTTACCAGAGAGAGATGAAAGTCCCTTTTTACCCCACTTACAAAGAGTCTCCCTCTCCTGAGAGGGCATTACAGTGACTTAGTGAGCTTAAGTTTTAGAAGGTAAAAAAGGTCCAATTTCTAGCCTGATGTTAATGAATATCAACGTGCCATTTCTTGAAAAACACCAGCATCCAGGAAAAACAGGTTTAAATACAAGAATAATAGAAACTTGACTAAAATTCAAGTGAAATTTGAAACAGAATGTTTAAAATTAGAGACCTAAACAAACAGAAAGTGTCCTGAGGTTTTAGATTTAGTGAACCTATGTACAGTATGCCTGAATGATACAAGTACTGACTGCGAATTCATGAGAAATTGTGTTGCTTTAATGCCTCTCAATATTGAGGTGCTTTTTTATTTCCGTAACTGAATATGATCGTACATATTGCTGATTGTAGTAAAAAAAAATTAAATTAGTTTTGTAGGACTGCGAAATGTTTAACTCAAAGTTGCCTTTAAAAATGAAAGAGAATTGATTTTGTATTTGAAAATGAAACTAAGAGGCAGACATCATAAATGGTGACATCTTTATATTTGTCAACGTTATAGGAATTTTAATGAACTTTCCCTGTTATTTTAGAATTTCCTGATGGAATCAATCCTACTACAAAAGAGAGGGGTGGACCTAGAGGCCCTGAACCTACACGTTTCGGAGACTGGGAGAGAAAAGGACGCTGTATAGATTTTTAATATTTAAATGTGTCCGTATTGCTAATAAAATATTTCTAGTTGTTGAAAAATGTAATGTACAGAAAAAAAATCTCACCTGGATTTGTTGTGAAGCTTCTTGTTTCTGTCATGCTTGTGGTGAATTTTCTGAGTGATATAATGTAAATAAACACAATGCTGCAACTCACATTGTGGAGCTGTTACTTCTCAATGTCTGCCTGATCTTTAACGCTGCTTACAGTGTGCAAGTATAAATGCAGGTATAGTGATGTGAAATTGGTATTCAGGAGCTAACGGGGGTGTGTAAGGGCTTGGACTTCTGTATGAACGTAAACATTTATGTAGTGTTGTAAAAGTGTTGAAAGAGCTTTGCAGTTCATGAACCTGGACACCATTCATCAAAAGAGAGGCACCTCTAGGAGATCAGTAGGTCCCTGGTTGCACACAGTGGTTCACTGGTGACAACCCCTTTACTCAAGAACCATCCCCTCTGTCCCTGTCCCAGTGCATTGGGCGTTTTCTCCTGTGTGTCGAGCTGGGATGGTCTTGTCTAGACTGAGGACTGTAAACAGCACAGTGGAAATGGAGGCTTGATTCCCAGAGGTCAGTTCATGATAACAAGTAGTACAGGGGTGCTCTATGTGCAGTTCTAGAACAGTGTTCTTTATAGCCTGGCTACTTCCATGCTATTTGCATTATCTCTTCCTTTGTAAGTGGAGATGCCCATTTGCAAACAGGCTGCTTGGGAAAAATACAGCATGACTTTCTGACACCTTATGGTCAAAGGGGACTAATTCCATTAGATGATCTAATATTGCAGGTCTTTAAGTTATCTAGCATCACACTAAATATCTTTCAGTCAGACTGAGCTCAGTTCTTCGTTCAAGAATTTGCCCAGTTATAAATGCTGTAGTAGAGTGCAAATCTACCACTTGTGTGGGTTCTTATTAGTCAGAATAAGCTGTCATTATTGAAATGTGTGAACACATGCTCTATTTCTGTGCAAGTTCTTTTTGATAGCCTAAACAAATGGATCTTCTCTAGTCACAGAAGCAGAGAATAGTGTGGGTTTTGCATTACTCTGGCTCTATGTGGGCTTTGCTTAGCTTTGTGTTTGTATGGTTTTATTAGAGCATTAAAGTGTATTGGTCCTATCATAAATCTCTGCAGCCTCCCTAAAATTCACTTGACTGGCAGCCAGTGAGGGAGCTCCTTGTTGAAATTTGCCAGTTTGTGTACCTGGTGTGCATGTTATGGACATTGGATCGCACTAAGTAATGAGTGCAGATGTTTGTCTCACTGTGATGACATCCTACAGAAGTACTGAAACTGTGCAGTTACAGGTTTACCTAACAAATACCTCTCTGAGGAGCAAAATGAGATTAACTAAAGCTGTTTCTCATTAAGTATGTTATTTGGTTGTAATTACATTTTGAACCTTTAATCTTTAAATTCTGCAGCGTGGTTTGGATATTGGAAAATTGGTCTGTATTTATATCTAATTCATTTTAGTTTCCCTTCTGTAGTGTGAAAGTTAGATCTTCCCAAAACCTATTGGCATTTCCAGTTACCTGAAGATATCCTGGGTCAGCTGTCATTAAACTAAATATATGCTGTTTATTAACATAGTTATTTCTAGCCATCCTTTGCCTTTTCAGTTGCTGTTGGGTTGGAAAAGACTTCCTCACGCAATACACCACCTTTTCAAATGGAGAGTAGAAATTTTAATTGGAAGCTTCTGCCTTTTCTGCATCGTTATTAAGAGGCTTAACATCTTAATTTGCAAATGGGCGGTAACACTACTGAAGTTATTTTATTTTTGAATTCTAAATCTTCTTCTCCATGGATTGTTGCATGACTTCATTATCTTCTCATACCAGGTTTTACCCGTCCCAGCACACATTCCACGAACGTTTACATAGTTCTACTTCTTGGCATTCCTGATTTTCAAATCAGTTGCTTCCTTCAGCATAGACCAGCTACACTCCTCCCTGGATGCAGAATTACGTCTTTTTGATTGAGCATACAAGGAACTGGTCTTTTCTGTCCTTTTCTTTATGTTACAGTTGGTCATCTTCAGTCTCCCTCAGCTTTGTGAGTAAGGGCTGGCTTGAGTGCTTTCCAGGCCCCTGCTTGTCTTCTTTCATGCAAGTAAAGGTACTAGATACTCACTGCCACCATCCATGGAACACTTGGATTTGTAAGATAATTCTAAGAGCAGTGTCTGTACCAACAAGACAGAGTGCCTCATAAAGGCAGGCGTTTTGCTTTCTTTCGTAGAATCACAGAATCATTTATGTTGGAAAAGACCTCTAGGATCATCAAGTCGAACTGATAACCCAGCAGTGCCAAGTCCACCACTAAACCATGTTCCTGAGTGCTACATCTGCACATCTCTGAAATACCTCCAGGGATGGTGACTCAAGCACTTCCCTGGGCAGCCTGTTCCAGTGCTTGACAGCCCTTCCATTGAAGGAATTTTTCCTAAAATAAAAAGGCTCTTGTTAACCCGTATTGTAAATAGCTGTCAAGGAATTGGTGTTTGGGAAATGGAGGATATCACTTCAGTCTTTGCTTGCAGAATGTGTCAATAAGAGATAAGAAACTGAACATTTGGGCAAAATGGCATGTAAGAGCCAGAGAGTGAATGCTAAGGGCCCTTTTGCGTGGTCTGGCAACCAGACCACAAAAAAAGGAACCCTGGGCTCCAGTAATAATTAAAATTTTGTGGTGCTGCAAAATCACTTGTGGTACCTGTCAAAACCAATCATGGTTTGAATGTAACAATTGATACAATGTTATCATAAGGCGTAAGTTATCATTTCTGTTTTGTTTTCTTGCAGTGCCTGCAGTTAGGAAAGCAACACTTCAGCACTTTTCAATACTCTTCCCAGATGATTACTATTAGCGATTCACTGAGATACAGCATTAGGGTGAGGCAATGGCTTGTGGCATTAGCCATCAGATCAGCCACAGGTATGTTTTTATCATAAATATAGATTGAATCTATTTTTATAGTTCTTTTTGTTAGTATAAACAGTGAAAAGCAGCAGGAGTTGTATCCATTTTCTGTTAACTTTCTGGGAGACAAAGGAAAATTGTTCTGCCTGTGTAAGCAAATTCTTGCAGTACTAGAGGATGCTTGCTGTTCTGTTTGGTTTTCTTTACTAAAAACATGTATGTTGTGTTTCTGCAGTGGATTGTCTTTTAAACTTGTTGCTGCTGCTTTGCCTAGATACATTTTGTACATTATTAAAATTATGACATCTTTATTGTTTGAAGAAATTGCTCTGTAATGACTCTATTACAAAATACATGAAGTTGCACCGAACAGTTAAAGAAAATACTTGCTATATATTGCCTTGTTTGGAAAGTTTGTATTTCAGTGCTGATTTTACTAAGTTAAAATACCAGATCTATTTACCCTTGATGGTAGCACATGTCTATAAGTAGCACTGTAGAATACTGTCATAAAACTTTACTACTTTTCCAGTTGACTGCAACAAATGATCACAAATTCCAGCAACCTGTAGTGACAGTTACATTACTTGCCTTTTTATGGCCCTTATTTTGGTATTGTTATTGAAAAAGCAGCACACCATGTTGTTCTGAAATGTCAGGAAAAGAGCAAATTCATTTATAAGAGCAGTTCATTTTGTAAGAGAATAAGATTTGAGCGTTCCATGGTTTTTGTAATTGTTCATCTGTCAGTAACATGGCATCAAGCATATCAAAGCATAAGGAAATGATTTGTGTTTCTGTGTGCCCATGGTGATTAAAACCATACACACTTGTGGTTGCTTTCATGCTTTTGTAACATGCAATATAAAATACCTTTTCTTAGCGGGTGTTTTTTGTTGGCTACGTTCTAATGTGGGTGTGGCTGTGCTCCCTCCTAATCTCAGTAACTGGTGGTCAGGGAGGCAGTCATCTGTAATCTTCGCGAGGACTTTTGTTGCAGAAAGGGTGGCCCAGTGGAAATCAGATCATAGTTACAAAATGGCAGATTCTGAGAAAAGATCTCTATTTAAAATGAATGCTGTAAGGAGTGGAACTAATAAAGTGCTGTTACCTCTCAATGTCTTGCCCCTCCTGCGGATCAAGCATCTTTCTCCATATTCCCCTGTTGATTGACATTGTCTCCACCAGCCAAGAGAAGGGCGTCTTTCTGCCCGTCATTTCCCTCTGAGAGGAATTATTTGGACCTCTTTCTCAACCACTGATTTCCACAGAACTCGCAAGAACTTAAGAGTACCTTGAGAACTCTACTCTCCTAGACACCTTTTCAGAACAGGTTGGAGTTACTGACTTTTAAACTGCTGAGGCAGTGCAGAAATTGGCCTCCCATCCTTTGGAAACCAAGCTGATGAATTCTTTGAACATACATATTTTCTTCAGAAATATTTAGCATCGCTCTGCATTTTTTTTCTGTGAGAATTCATTTATTTTTTTTCCCTCAACATCAGAAGTGCCATCTAAAGCTTACAGCAGCAAGGTCTTTGACATGCATTTTCCAAGCATTAAGTCTCTCAGTCAGCTACAGTCTTGTGCCTGTAAAACAACCACATATTTTAATGTTGCCATTTTTAGGATGAGAGTGTTTAAAGAAGCTCTTTAAGGTCCTTACTTAACACATTAATTTGTATTAAAGCTGATATACCTGGCCATCAAAACACAGTTCTGATTCTCAGATGTTAGTCTCTGACAAAATCAGGTGAGCTATGATGTGAAGCAGTGGTCAGGTTAGTTCTAGAAGCCAGATATTGAACTATTGCTTAGGCCTGGGACTCTGTCGTAATCAATTGTTTCAAACTTAAGTAACCATCTGTATTTGCTTCGTAATTAGTTGCAATGGAGTGAGATGCCTCTAAAAAGTAGTTTTTCTTAATAGGGGAGATGAATTTGTCCTTACAGATGGTGAATGGAGGGGGTTGAAGTGCATCCTCTCCATTGCCTTTGAAGGCTGCCTGAACAGCTGTCCTAGGCGAGGTGTGAGTTACTGGCTTTCTTCTCAGAGGGAGGAGGGTTGCAGTGAGGCAACAGGACCTCCAGTGCTTTTGCTGCCTATGCCCTTCCCAAGCACTGCTTGCAGGGAAGGGAGTGTCCAGGGCCAGCTCTTCGACACGTTGTAAAAGGGAGTTTGCTTACCTTAAAATGAGAGGAAAAGGCTGAAGCTAAGACTTTAAATTCCTTCTGCCTATCCACCTCCAA